CCATAATTATTTATTAGTAAATATATGTAAATGGGTATCTGTATGTATGTATGTATATATTTGCACCACATTGGAGTTGATATAATCATTTTATCTTGAATTGTGAAGAAGGAGCCATTTGAATAGGACTAGAAGCACTCAAAGCCTCACTTATTTCTCCTTTTACAAGAGAACGATAAGGGATATATGGATATATACAAATAGGTCAACCAAGAAATGAAAGAAATGTCATATATTTCCCTTTGTATAATTTTTCTCCGCCCTCTCAAGTGTTCCTGACGCTCCCCGCCTGAGTTGCTCAGCCAAATTATACACAATTTGACGTAGTTCACATGCACATAAGTACTACTAATGATGGCTATGCAATAAAATATAATTAGTGTTATATATATATATATATATGTATAATATATAATATATTTCATGGTGTCCGGACCCACACACATCAAGTATTGGCTGGTAATTTACGTATACTAATCCATCACCCAATTAATATGGCTCAAACCAGAAATCGATTGCATTTTCATATTGGATTGCACCTTCACCATCAACAACATTTAAATTTTGCTGCTCTAACTCCATAATTATGATATCATGGAAACAACAAGCTATCGCTTATTTGTGTATTTATATATAATACTTTTCTTTTTCAGAGTTTCTGGAAAATTGGTTTTTGATGGTTTTTCAACTTGAACATGATGGTATGTGATTATTGCATTTTTTTGTGGAGATTGTGATGTTTCTTGGGAATCTGCATATATAATTATTATGACCATTGTAATGGTTCATAAGAATTCACTTCAGAAATGGACATGACCAATCCATTTTTAATGGTTTTTTGTGTGCAGCCACTTGATAAAAATGCATCTCATGATCACTTATGAATTCGCCTCTATGTATGGGTGAGATCAACTCATGCACTAATGTTTGCCACTGAAACCTCATTACGGTCCTTGAGCTTTTCGCAAGAATATCAATGTAGAAACCAATTTAGTTCACAATTTTGCTTTTGTGGATTGTGATGTTGCAAAAAGAATAGAAAGTGATAATGTTTTTTTCTCCTTTTTTTATTTTGAATATTGGATTGCTGGTTTTTTAGGTCATGTTCATTTCACAAATTCGAGTTTAGAATTCAAGTTTTATTACAGTAAAAAATTCTCAAAAACAGTCACATCTAACTTTTTTACTACAGTACTCTCACGTAAAGTCATATCTCAACTCGAATTAAAAGTTCGAATCAGTGAACTAAACGGATAGTTAGTGTTGCAAGTAATATTGCTTTGAGGACAAATAACCATACGTGAGATAACACTTAATTTAGTTAATTATGATTATAATAAATACTAATACTGAATAGTATGCAGATGAAACCAATCAAAAAATTGTTCTGTGGATACACACACGTGTGTATATATATATATATATATATAAGGCTTGAATTTTGAGTCCCATTGCAGGTGTCAAGTACCTGTTGTGGGCCTACTTTCTGTGGATCACAGGCCCACAATATACAAGTATCCTTGGTAAACCCTAAACCAGCCTCCTTTTTTATTTTGAATATTGGATTGCTGGTTTTTTAGGCCCCGTTCATTTCACCGATTCAAGTTTAAAATTTGAGTTTTACTACAGTAAAAAACTCTAAAAAAACAGTTACATCTAACTTTTTTGCTACAGCACTCGATAACACTTAATTTAGTTAATTATGATTATAATAACTACTAATACTGAATAGTATGCAGATGAAACCAATCAAAAAATTGTTCTGTGGATACACACAGATGTGTGTGTGTGTGTGTGTGTGTGTATATATATATATATATATATATATAAGGCTTGAATTTTGAGTCCCATTGCAGGTGTCAAGTACCCGTTGTGGGCCTACTTTCTGTGGATCACAGGCCCACAATATACAAGTATCCTTGGTAAACCCTAAACCAGCCTCCCAATGGTTTTCCTTTTACCAACCCATTAACGCTCAAAATACCACGTCACCATTCCTTAGCCGGGTGGCCTCGTGGGTGAGGTAGGACAAAAAGGGAACACAACGAATACCGGGTCAATGGGGAGGGTCTAAGTACCAAGTACTCAGCGACGAAGCGTGCGTGCCTCGCAAACTACGTGCCGTGCTCACCAAGAGTGGGGATCAAGGAAAACCTAAAACAAAGGGTTAATCTCATAAATTGTCATCAAATTTTATCTTAATTTTAGTTTGATTCCTACTTTGAAAGTGCTCCAAATGTAATTTTGATCTATATGTATGAGTTTTTACCTTACGTTAGAAAGAGGAGAAAATATGTAAATGATGCTCATGAAAAATAACACTCTATTAATAGAATATCGAATATAGACGTGCGGCTAAGAGAAAATAAGGTCTAAAACTAAAACAAGCTAATAAATTATTATTATATTAACAAATCTTTGTTGTAGTCAATATGAGTTTGCTTAGTAAGATCTAGCCTTTAGAAGTTACATATATAATATAAAAAGATAAAAATTAAGATGCTAGATAAAACATGAAAAAACCATAACTAGTATGAGAGACAAAACTCATTATCACTATAGAGAGATGTAAATTGACACACACACACACACACACACACATATATATATATCTTTATTTAAAGTACATGTAAATGCTTGTGTCCTAATTTTGATGATTATTATTTTTTTTGAGTGAATTTTGATGATTATTTTAGATATTGAAAGACCAAAAATAAATTTCATGTAAAATTTTTATTATAAAATTGGATTTTCTTATTGAATGGTAATATTGTTCCACTAAATTCTTTATAAGACATTAAATAATAAACTAAGAATAGAAGTTAAACCTTCAAAAACCTTAAAATTTATATAATAGAAAAAAATCAACAAATTAAATAGGCACGTAAAAGGCCTCCAACACTCCAACGATTCTGTAATGTAAACTAGTAGAGCAAAAATTCTCTTAAATAATAATAATAATAATAATAATCAAGATTCAAAAGCTTCATAACAAATCCATAAACGTTATCATTTTATAATTGCCAATTCGAAGTGACACGCACAGAGCAAGTGCATGTCACTCCTTAGCATCTTCCGGCACCGAGCTGACCGCCGTCTTGGTCGGATCCGGCGCCTCCTACCAACCCCACCATGAGAATTCACGAGCGAGCTGTTCCACAATGCTCTCCGTTTCATTCATCCATAGAATAAGCTCCTCATATGAACTCTTTTGATCCTCCTGATCAGACATTCTAGAACCGATTTTTCTCAAGCTCTCTAAACGATCTTTAACCGTATCCGCAAACTCTTCCAATTGTGTTACTACCACTTTCTTCTCAATCTTCACGACCACATTCACCATCTTGCGAGTACTTCTCAAAGCAGAAGCCCTAGCCCTAGCCACGACGTCGAAAACCAACTCCAAAATCTTACAAAGCATGTCTTCATTTGTCCCGTCATATTTGAGAGGCGGTTTTCCGGACTCCTCTTCCAAATACAGACCGCCGTCCAACGAGAGCGGAATCTTTGGAAAGGACGACATGTATCCGACAGGGGCCTTCGATCTGTCGTAGGATTCGAAAAATGTGTGAGCCCAAAACAATTTGGACTTTTTGGAGCTGCCGAGGATGCTGTTTTCAATGGCGAAAGAATCTGATTCTAGGAAGCACCTCTCGCTTATGTCGACCTCCAAGCTCACCGGAAGACGTACGGTTGTCAATATATGTGGGTATGGACTCCTCATCTGAGCAGAAATTATTCTCGACGGTCACTGCTATGTGAGACCGCGACATCTTGATTAATATGATATTATTCTAGCTAGTCTAATCTAATTCTCTGAATATAATATTATAAGTACGTAAAAGAAAGGAGAAATTAAGTATGCGTTTGATTTAAAGATTCGTATCATAGTTTGAATTATAGTTTGTGATTTGTTACAGTATTTTTTTTTTAAAAATACATATAAATCGAGAATAATTTTAAATCATAATTTTAAATCCATCACCTAAACGTTACATATGGGAACTGTATTGATTTGTTTATATTATATATATATATATGGGAAGAAGTGGAAACACAAGAGTCCTCGTATGATTTAGGGCGGTAAGAAATCACCCCGAACCCGACGAACCCGGCCGAGCCGAGCCGACCCTACTCGAAAATCATGGGTTTCCAATTTTTTATTTAATTTTCGGTTTTAATTATGCCTAACCTGCACTGCGCGGGTAGGGGCGCGGGGTGGGGTTACATGAACCCAAGGTAACCCTACTCGGCCGAACATGTTCAAAGTAGGTAAAACAATGTCCAACACTTCAAATTCTTACTTTCATAAGTTTATAGACTTTATGCTTTTAAGCTGTTAACTTATTTATGTTTTGGATTCACGGTTTGTATAAAAAAATGCTTGTATGCCATAGTTGTTGAATTAGGACATTCTTTATTTATATTGGAAGTGTTTGATTTCAAAATGAGTGTTTTAATTGTTCACCTTGCATTTAGACCCTCTCTTGAAGGAAAGACATGTTCTGTTTGATAATGATTTCTTCTGTAACAAGCACAGATTAATTGACTAAAAATTGATTAAAATTGATGAAGTCATAGATTAAAATTGGTTTTCACCAACCCGAGTAACCCGACCCTACCCGAGGTCACCCGAAATGTTGCGGGTTTGTAGACTTAAGAGAGTGTCACGGCCTAAAATTTTCTCAACCCGCACTGATCGGGTAGGCTCAATTTTTCGGCTCAACCCTACCCTACCCGGCCGATTTACACCCCTAGTATGATTAGAACTGCCGGTCCGAGTCGTAAATTATTTTTAAATTTGAAAAAAAAAACAGTAATTAGTTGGCCTGTATTTTGATTTTTGAATAAGGAGTGATTGCGAGGAGATGACGCGATGATGAGACCGAGTCGGTGATCGGACAGCGACAAACAGAGAGGAACACGAATGTTCCATGGACCTGAGCTGTAAACCAACCTAGGGAAAAGAAAAGGAAAACAAAACAGGGGGTGCCGTGGAAATAACCATAAATCCGGGGGTTACTTCAGCTGACGACTAATTTCTGCCACTGCGTTTATCAGTGATTAATATATCATTAATCATTTTTATCCATTTTCTTTCATAAACTATTACTTGCGTCTTCTTCTATCTCCTTTGTTACTAATAATAATTATCACACGTAATGGCTAATTGTAATCTTAACACCATTCTAAACCTAATTTCGGTTCTCATTTTATAGTTCTGCTGCAAAGTCTATCCAAAGAAAATACGAGAGAGAGTTTGAGATATTCTCCACCGTCCGCTTTAATTTCAGGTGTGGAAATTTTCCTCTACTTTACGTAATTTTTTATTTATTTATTTTTGCTTGGTTCTGTGTTTCTTTCAAATTCGGTGCTTTAGAAGGATTTTTAAAAGACTGAAGATAAAAAAGTTTGGATCTTTACTCTTTTATTAGAAACTTCACAAATCACACGCTTCACACTTTCTCATTTCCACAAGGTTATATTTCTATATATAATCGTCGTCTGTCTTATTTGACGGCAGAAATTTAATTTTCCCGAGAAACAAACACAACTTTTGAGCCACTTTCTGATCGAATACCATGAGCTCGGAGCAGAACGAGTACCAGCCGACAGAGCCGCAGCCGTGCGCGAACAACTGCGGGTTCTTCGGCAGCGCGGGGGCCATGAACCTCTGCTCTAAGTGCTTCAGAGACGTCCGGATCAGAGACGAACAAGCCGCTTCGGCCAAAGCCGCCATGGAAAAGTCTCTGAATCCGAAGCCTGAAGTACTTAATCCGGAGATCCATAACAGCAATCAAACGGCGCCGTCTTCCGCGGAAGCGTCGGATTTCGGCGGCGGTCCGAAGGCGGCGCTGAAGAACAGGTGCTGGAGCTGCAAGAGGAAGGTCGGTTTCACGGGATTCGTGTGCAAGTGCGGGAGCACGTTCTGTGGGACCCACAGGTACCCGGAGAAGCACGGGTGTACGTTTGATTACAAGAGTGCCGGGAGGGAGGCGATCGCAAAGGCTAATCCCGTTGTTAAGGCCGATAAGATTGGGAGGTTCTGATCTTAATCTCTTATTACCACCTTGCTTAATTAATGGAAATTCTGTACTATTTTTTTTTTTCCTTTTTTCCTATTTTCTTGTTCTTTTTTCTCTTAATTTTTAGTTAACGAGGCTGTTATTGGTGAAGTACTGGTGGTTGGCAGGTGGTTCTGGGAGTAGAGTTTGGTTGGTGGGTTGGACAAGGCCTTTTGGTTTGGTTTTTGGTTCAATAATGATGCAGAATCACTTGTTTTATGTGTATTTTTTTTAAGAGAAAATATATAAAAAATTATAAATTATGATTCAAAATTATAAACGAATATAACAAATAAATGTCTCCGAATCTTTTTTTTTCCCTTCTTGTTTGGCTTTGGATCTAGCTTTTATAAAGAAAAAAAATCTAGCTTTTTATAAATATTTGTTGGAGAATTTTCTGGTAGGGTAAAAAAGAAAAAAAAAAAAGAACTTTAAGTTGAACTGTTGTTTCTTTTCCTTCTCAATGGTTCAAAAATATGTTCTAGTAATAGTTTGTTTTGGATATTCAATTACAAAATTTTTCGTATTTCCAAATGTGTTATATAGATGATCACTTTGCTGTCTGAATTTTATTTTTCTTGTAGGAGGAACTCTTTGAATTGAGGTGATCAAGGCGTGCATTGTCTTTTTTTATAGTGTTGAATGTTAATTAGGGAATTGCACGAGGAAAAGTATATATTTTCTTTTCTTTCCTTTCCTTTGCTTTTTTTTTTGGTCAATATGGAAAGAATGAACAATATCGACAAGTTTCACAATATGTCAAAAATTGGAGGGATTTGTCTTTTAGGCTCTATTGTGTATCCAACCTCGAAATAAAACAGGAAGAGAGCATATGGAAATTTAAAATAAATAATAATAAAAATAATGATAAAGGTTAAAAAAACATTCTACTCTTGACCCTGAACTTTATCTTTTTTTGTTACTCTTCAAGCTTTCAGTATTTCGTAGAAAGCAAACACTTTACTAATTGTAAGTGCATTCAATAGAAACTATAGAAAGAAAAGAAAAAAAGATTTGGCACTTAAAAAGTATAAAAACATGAGCAATAACAAGGTCGCCACTCACCATAAACGAAAACAGAACCACGCGATTCCATTAACTTTCGTGTAGGAATCTCTAATCCATGTTTGCAGAATCTGTAAGCTGATTTATCAACAATAACAGCAGCATTAAGTTGATTTTCCATAATTAATACGAGATTGTCCGTTTGAAACCTTTTTTTTTTTTTTTTTTTTTTTTTTAATGTTGGAGAAGATATTTTGGAACGTTTGTGGAAAAATATTGTTTTTACTTCATAGTTATACGAGTCTTCGACGGTTGGAATGAGTTAAGTAAAAATGTTTTTACGACACAAATTTAACGGTTTAAAATAGAATCTTATTGTTCTTTTTTTAGGTTCTAAAATTATCCATAAAGCACCTCTTAACGTCCAAGAATGTCATCAGATTTGCTGTAGACCATAAATTAAATCGAATTGTCACTTGCTTGTACTGGTTCTTTTGCATTTCATTTCGCTTGTATATGCACATTAATTAAATTTCTACTATATTATTATGACATTTCTTCCATTTATAAAATTAGGGAGAAAGAGGGAAATAGGCCAAGAAATTAATAGGTTAATAGTTTACATAAGTTAATAAATAGACTAAATTACTGTTTTCGTCCATAACTAGTCTGGTTATGAATCATAACTTCACAAGTTATTGTCCATAATTTGTCTGGCTATGAACCATAACTTGACAAGTTTATTCATAACTTATCTGGTTATGAACTATAACTTAATAAGTTATGACCTATTAATTTCTATAACTAAAAATTTGTCTCTATACTTTCTTAAACTTTTTATATTAGCGTATTTTCTACAATTTCCCATAAATTAAGCAGGAAACACATTCTTGGGCCCGTGAACCCATTAAGTGAGAAGGCCTCTCTACAGCTTGGAGAGGACTGTTTATGATCTTAGTTAAGCTCGAGTCCAACTGTCCAAGATATACATTGCACCTATCATTTAATCCTTTCATAAAGAGACTCACACTTTTGATACCCCTCCCCTCTTTTTTACAAATTATTCTCAGAACTTTTGTTTTTACATAGTTTTGGTTCATGATCACAATAAAATTTGATAAAATATTTCTTAAATTTTATAGAGATAATAATATCCATTTGGCATAACTAATAACTGAAAGATTGTACAAAAAATAACTACCTTAAGTGCAAAATGTTATAATTTCATGGTTTTTTTTTTTTTTTTATAACAATAAACAGAATTTTCTTGTTTTTATAAACTCTTAAAGTTACACGTCGAGTGCATGATAACCTCTGTTAAATTAGAGAAATTCACCATCAATTTTATAGTTAGTTTTAAGGAGTAACATGTCATATAAAAAGAGTCACCCTAATTAAACAATAAGCAGCAGAGGAGGTGGTGTTTTCAATAATGTTGTGTGTGACCTAAATTCACTTTGAGTTAGGTAAAAAGGTAGGGGTTGGGTCATATAGTTTGCGTGTGAGTGTGACCAAAACAAGTGGCGCAAGCTAGGACATATGGGACACCCCGAGTATATTTATTAACTTGGTATCCTTTATGTATACAACTATATATATATATATATATATTCGCTTGTAATATAGGACTATATAGATTGAGCTATAGCACAATAATTCTGAGTCCGTATATTAATGTGTATATATGTTATGGGGTGAGATTTGGTCATACTAGGCAAAGACTTGGTTAATTAATTAGCAATTTAAAGTTTAGCTAGTTTTATGGAATTACTTAAGAAACATCAAGCCCCAGCCAGTCCTATACTCCAAATCCCTACCCACACACACACACACATATATAATGCAATAATGCATGCGCGCAGGAAATAATATTACTTGGATGCCCTACTCGTACTGTGCTATACTGCTTTCAACAAATTAAAGTTATGGATGTGCAACGACGTTATTTAGGAACCGAAGCAAACTAAGATAATTGGTAGAATTTTTTTGTTGAGTTTGGAATATGATCATCTTAGGGCCCTTTTAGTTCGCTAATTCGAGTTGAGATGTGATTTTATGTGAGAGTTTTTTTACTGTATCAAAAAAGTTAGATGTGACTGTTTCTGAGAGCTTTTTATTGTAACAAAACTCAAATTCTAAACTCGAATCGGTGAAATGAACGAGGCCCTAATTAGACTAATTAGACTGGCCAATTTGCGCCAAAATTCTGTTGATGGAACTGGTGGTATATAGTATGCAGGTTTTAAATGGGAAACTGAATAATTTCGCCATCAAACATTTATTTGCCATTGTTTTCAAAAGACAAAAGTCTATATTATATGGAACTAATGAATTGTTATAATGCCCCAATTATTTAAAACTTGTGGACCTAATATCGCTCATAACTCTCAGCCATGTGCCTTCTTCTATGGCTTTAATTTCCAGTGGTACTAAAGTCTAAGGCAGTTCCTGATCTATGAAGGCATGACTAATTATAAGGCTATCTAGCTCAACAGTAATAAATTTGCTTTGACCAGTTCAGGTGAAGATTATATCTCTGTATTGATCTTAATTGTTAGTTAAGGAAGCATTAATTATCCCAATTCTTAGAGTTTTTTTTTTTTTTTTTTTCTCTCCTTTTTTTTTTTGGTTGTTGTTGGGAAGTTGGGAATGGGATTTCACCTCTGAAGCCATGTGATTTGCCTGCACCACAGTTGGTAAAATGACGTATGATTGATCAACCTGCTTGTCATGTTAATAGTGGGGGAAAACATTAAGCACGCTTTGCCCAACAATTCATGTGAAAATTAGGTTGAGAAAAACTTTATTTATTTTGTGTCTGTTTGTATATATGACAATTCTAAGGTATATATATATAGCATCTGCAGTTTTAAATTCATTTCTAGGACCACTGCTCTCTAACTTGGAACTTTTAGACTGATTAGTCTTTGTCAAGCAAAGAGAAAGTAAGATAAAAGGATACCCTGAAGGCCCACCGTGGTGGAGCAACCACATTGTACTCTCATCATCTCTCTCTCGCTCTCTCTCACTCACAGAATCAAACTTTAATTTGAGAAACGGGTACTAATTAGTTCAAACTTCAGTATGTATATATATGGTTCTCTTTAATTATAAATAATCTGAAACTACTTTTATTGCCTTCTATTGCAGTGCAAAAGAAACTAACATTTTTAGCGCGTTAGGAACATCCAAAGCTAAATAACATCCAAAGCTAAATAGGATAAATTTTCGGTTTTCATAAGGACTTTTAATGGTGTCGGATTCGGACGAAAAATATGTGTTTTCTGAATGGAAACGAGACAATAGACAAGACTCGTCGCTTTGCCATGACATGTCACATTTTTCGGGCAAATTCCTTCGTTTAGGCCTCCAAAAGGGTGTTTTTTTTTTTTTTTTTTTCCATTTTTAGTAATTTCTATTTTTGTAATAAGTTGACATAGAAAATTCAAAATCCAATTCTGATTGCGTTTCCTTTTTCCTTGCATCTAATAGTTTCATATTTAGTTTACGGTTTATAATTTTCCCTTTTTGGAAAATTAAGTATTTTTTATTATTTTAATTGAAGAATAGGTTAATTTTCTAGTTCTATTTTACCTATTTATATGGACGTCCTCTTGTAATGAAAACCATTTGAGTTAAACAAAATTTCAGAATTTTTCTCGAATTTTATCTCTTTCCAAATTTTGATATTTTATGTGAATCAATAGTGTTTGAAACAATTTTCCTGATGTTCTGTGTAAATCAACATATTAATTAATAACCCTTTTATTTTATTATTTCATTTTTTTCTTTAATCAAGCTTCCGCTGCATCACCTTCCCAAAGGTCCCATGATTTTTGAAACCCAAATGATTATAAACAACATTATTTATATATTTCCCTAATGCGCGCAAAGAGAATCTAATAATCACGCTGATCATGATGTGGGGAATTCAATATATAGACAGCTCAATATGTACCATAATCTGTTCCATCTCCTAATTGGGCCATGGTCCATATATAGCTTGGTACACACTGGTCCCTCGGTAATGATCTCTTGGATAGTATTAAGTAACACACACATATAATATATATATATATATATAACATATATAGACACACATATTTATCATCTTTTTCAGTCTACCTGGGTCTGGATTATCCTCATGTTCACATACGTAATATATATATATATATATATATATATTATATAAATATGAATGTGTATATATAATTTTGCGTATGTTTTTCGTCTGATTTCTTGGTGCTTAAAATGGCTATATATATGTTTATGCTTTTCATGTGCTGTGTACATGTATACCTAATTTGGATGTCTAGTGATCTCTACCAAAAAAATTGTACCATCTTAAAGAAAGAAAAGGAGACCAACTGGCCGGTTTTGTAGAAGTCTGTTGCACGTCTCTTGTATGCATCATGTGTAGTATTGCATGGGATGTCATGTGTTGTGTGACCAATTATGTAACAATTAACATCTTCAGTTAACTCTAAGAGCAGAGCTTAAGTATCACTGTTAAAAGATATATATGCTCTATTAATTTATATACGTTGGCCGAAACTCACAATTATTACTTCATTAATTGAGGGGACATGTTAATTAACCACTAGAATGGTGAATGTCACTCTTTTGTTCACTAAGTAGAATACTGATGACCTTATAATTATATAGGGCAGAACCATCTGATAGATCTAATTATATATAGATTGTAGTACGTGAGATTTCAAATCATCATGAGCTTCTCAAGTACGTCTAATTATAGATTCCCATCATTAGGGCAACAAACTCAGAATTTGTATGTATAGTACTTACATACATAAATACATATATATATATAAATATATATATATATATATATATAACCTAAGGTTGGCATACATTAGATGTGGGACAGACCATGTGATTAACACTGGAAAAACATAGGAGGCGATTTCAACCATAGTTTAATGGTGGTACATGGAATATGGTACAGTTTTTTTTTTTTTTAAATTTAATATTTATACTTTTGTTGGCAATTTGGTGGGTGCACCCTAGCTTCAGTGTATAAAAGAAGTCTCCTTTAATTTTTCTTTATAGGTAGAGAGTCAAAAGGGACTGCGATATGAAGTGGCTCTTTAATGAGATACTTTTGTCTTTCCATGTCCCCATGATCTAGAGCTTATATATGACATTGCAGGAATGGGCTGCCAATGCCAGTGATAATCATCTCTTTATAGGTTTATGTGTTCCATTTCAAAACGGGAGACACCTTTTAAAATACTTAGTCTTATATATTAATAGAGATAGAGACTAGTATTCGATTGTCTTTGGCACCATTTATATTCAAAATCAGATAGACACACACACACACACACACACACACATATATATATATATATATATATATTGTATATGTTTGTATGTGCTTCGATAGGCCCTCCTCACTTTTAATATCATATATCCTTTAATGGAGCTCTCTCTCTCTCTCTCTAAGAGTTCAGAGTGCTCAAATGCCAATTAATCTGCCTTTTTTCCTTTTGTACTATATATTCCTTTAGCTTTCTGTCCATGAAATTTTCAATCTTTTCGCGCCCATATAGTATGAGATATAAACAAGATAGTTACCTTTATGATTAGGAATTTTACCCCATATAGTTAATGGAAATTATTAGACATCTTTTTTGGTCTTGCTTCTTATCCAATAGTATTAATATTGGGATTTAAAAGAATTGGATCGTGTTTAAAGCTAAGGACATAGTTATAGTACGATAATTACACAATATGGATCATAGTAAATCTTAATAATTAATCACTTCCTCATTTAATAAAATGCTTGGTTCGGAACCAATTTTAAACAAAGAGAAAGAATATACATCAAGTGGCTCCAATTTAATCATTTCCTGTTAATTACATATTTACTCAAGCAACAAAAATTATGCGTGTGATCACAACAAGAGCGAAAAAATTTTAAAGCAAAGAAAAGGACAAATGAAAATAAGAAAAAACTAATAAAAAAGTAAATTATAGACGTTTGATTCATGAATTCAGAATCACAATTTAAAATTATTTTTAATTTACGTATATTTTTTATAAAAAAAAATACCGTAATAAACCATTTACTAACTAAACACAAAGTAAAAGTACGTAGTACTGTAACCATTAACCAAGCTCAAAGCATATTATAAGATGGGACACAATATTTCTGCAGAAAAAAACTGTAAAAGCAGATAGTTTGCACTTTCCAGCCAAAAGGAAAAAAATGTTTATACTGGGAATTATTGAGTTGACATTTTAACAGAAAGCGGCATAAACTACACCGCAAATATAAAAGAAATATAATTAGAAAGGCGACTTATTGCAAGTAATTGATGGGAAAGAGGTCGTGTTAAATTGTTTTTTCCACTGTTTTTCAGATGATCATAATATGAACTACACGCAAAAGAAAAATAAAACTTTTTTTTTTGGGCATAAAGACGACAAAGAACATGAAAAATTAAAATGACGTCAAATAACGTTGCATGTCATATAATTCCAAAACCATGCATGTACATGGTGCGTAAATCACGTAAACAAATAATTGTTATAACTGTTTAGTATTTTGGACAAGTACTGTTACTTATTCAGTTATTCGATAATAGTTTTTTTATTTGTTTATCTTTTTTAGAGGTTGTTTGGTTGAGAGATTCATTCCCTGATTCGAATCATGATTTGTGGTTTACTACAGTATTTTTTCTCATAAAAAATACACGTAAATCAAAAATAATTTTAATTACATAATTTTAATTCATGAACCAAACGTCTTTTTAATCTTAGTAAACATCGTTATCATTTTCAATGTACTTTATAAAATTGGCACGCAGATCAAAAAACAAATTTGGAAAAAAAAATTGAGACCATCAATTCAAAATTTTGCCGCAAATAGTATGCGACAAATATTGAAAACGTATCCAACTATACCATTAATATAATAACGAAAGAGAGAAAATTTTGGTAAAATATAATTAAAAAGATGATAAGTTATATTAGAAAAACATAATAATAATTAAAACTACACAAATCATTCTGATATTTTCTTATTAAGTTTCAATAAAATTGTATGTCTTTTTAGGAGCTTTCCATAATGCATGTTTTAAATGTTAGATTATCACATCAAATAACACAATTTTGCAAACTAATAAAAGAAAAAAAATTCTCACGTGATTCAATTTTAGAATAGAGAAGGCCAATTTTGTACTTTTACCTTGGAAGATTTAATAGGGCGATGAGAGTTGAGTAAGATCTGGTCCCCACCAACGCGGTGACAGTACCACCACTCTGCGTGTGAGTGAGGAAATGTAAATTTCTTTATTAATTTAGGCCGTTTATTTCGCTAATTTGAGTTTAAAATTTGAGTTTTGTTACAGTAAAAAGTTCTCAGAAACAGTCACATGTAACTTTTTTACTACAGTAAAAAACTCTCACATAACATCACATCTCAACTCGAATTAAAAACTCAAATTAACGAACTGAACGGGCCCTTAGTTTTTCTTTCTTTTTTTTTTTGAGGGGAAATCTTTATTAATCTAAAGTTTTTCGCTAATCATAATTAGCAAAAATTAATTAGTCAAAAATAACATTTTTCCATCGTTTTCATTACACACTCTATCTAAATTAAAGCTTTTTTCAACTAACTAATTGACAAAATGCAAAAAAAAATGAGTTTTTTAGTAGAACAGTTCGACATGTAAATTTTTTATTATTAAATTAGGTTAAAATTATATTAAATAAAAAAAATATGTATAATAAATAATTTTTTTTTTCTAATTATGCTAAATAAGCTCCCGAAAAAATACAAGAAAAATATAAAGCTGCGTAATTTATCTGATTCACGTCTAACACGATTTGAGGAAAAATATAAAGCTGCCTAATTTATCTGAGTCACGTCTAACACGATTTGAGGTCCACTTCTACGACCAACAAATTCACTTTACTACGACTGCCAAAGTTGTTTCATTTCATAATTCATATACACACACCCACACCCAGCTTTCTTTCAAAATAACCTTTTTCAGCCTTTTTCTTCTTCTTCTTCTTCTTCTTCTTCAATCTTCTCCAATTTCCTTTCCATTGTGTTTGTGGGTTCCTTCTTCGCCATTAATGGCGTTTCTGAGCTTCTGAAGACTTGTTGAACAGAGTTTCTGTTTCAATGGCGGCTTCCGGTGGTGGTTTTAATTACCGGAATGGGACTCAGAGAAGCTCGCTTAAAGTAGATAGGCCTCTCTCCGTCAACTCTAATCCGAAGAACAGCGTCAAATCGAAGCCTTTGTCGTCTTCTGCGGTCGTCCGTCGGAACAGCACCGGCTCCATTGCTGCCTCCCCCAAGGACGATACCGGAGGTTCGTTCCTTTCTTATTTTATTTATTTATTTATTCTGTTGTTGAATTGAATATGATTGAGATCTTCAGTTTCGCCATTTCTTGTGATTGCTATTTGTTTCTGGTAGTTTTACACTTTTTAAAAAAAATTATTGACTAAATAGGGAAAGCTGAAATCTTGAAGTCGAAAGCTTTTTTGTTCTTCAAGTTGTTTAAGTAATGGAGTTTTTGAATTTTTGAATTCTTGCTTGATGTGATAATCACTCTGGTGAAGATGGAGAAAGTTCTTTTTTTGGCCGGGGATGCATTTGTGGTCCTGTGTAATTGGATGTATATATGCAGTTTTTGAATTTGGATGTTTTTTTTTTTAAATAAATTATTTTCAAGTGGATTAGCAGTTTTCTACCAGCAGAAATTCCTGCCTTACTCAAGTATGAAAATTTTAAATTGGTTACATTATAGTCTGACTTCCCTAGCCAAAAAGAGGGGAAAAATCTGATGAACTTGATTAATATGCAGAAGGCTAAAACCTCTATTTTTGTTGATGAGCATCTTCAGTCGTGTTATGGGTTTCTCATCTTTTTGCCATGAATTAAAATTTGGCATAAAAAGCTGATTTTGATAGTGATAGGTGCATTTTCCTCCTGTCAATCTGTATCACGCTTTTGCAAATTTTTTATCTTTATTGCGATTTGAGAAACCCCCTGTTTAAATTTTGCAATGGTGAATTTTGGGTGATGGAAAGTTTTTTCATGGAAAAATGTTGTCCTTTTTATATCAGAGTTGAAAGGGATGCTTTTGTTGTTTACTCTATGCTTGTTTCACAAATTGTTGAGTTTTAGTTATTCATCTTATGTTCTTGTATGTGGATGTAGTTCCGGGGAGAGTTCGAGTAGCTGTAAGATTGCGGCCCCGAAATTCGGAGGAATTGGTAGCAGATGCCGATTTTGCTGATTGTGTAGAATTACAGTCAGAGGTATGATGCAATGTGAGATTAAGGTTTTGGTAGCTAACTATTCCATCACCCAAATGATTTTTTTTTTCTCATCATTGTGGTAAAAAATTTCAGCTAAAAAGGTTGAAATTACGGAAAAACAATTGGGACTCTGATACATTTGAGTTTGATGAAGTGCTTACGGAGTTTGCATCACAAAAACGTGTTTATGAAGTTGTGGCAAAGCCTGTTGTGGAGGTGCGCACACATGAAACTTATGTTTTGCTACTAAACTTGCACTAATTTAGTATTTATAGAAATTTCACTAGAAAAGCATCTCGTATTTAATTTAATTTCTTTATCCCAGAGCGTCCTGGAAGGTTATAATGGGACAGTCATGGCATATGGTCAGACTGGTACTGGTAAAACATATACGCTTGGACGACTTGGAGAGGAAGACACGGCTGCTCGTGGTATAATGGTGCGCGCAATGGAGGACATTTTTGCAGATATTTCTCTAGAGACTGATTCTGTGGCAGTTTCCTATTTGCAGGTAGTTACCTTTTAAGTAAATGTTATCATTCTTTTTCTAATATAGTCTTGTTGGATATTGATGGCTGTAATTAATCGAACTTGTTCCATGTTTAAAACAATTTTCTGATCATTTGTTTAAGTCTTGATTGTTTATGCTTGCATGTAGCTTTATATGGAGACTATACAGGACCTTCTTCATCCTGCAAATGATAATATTGCGATCGTGGAGGATCCAAAAAGTGGAGACGTCTCAGTACCTGGGGCTACTCTAATTGAAATTAGGGACCAGCAGAGTTTTTTGGAACTATTAAGACTAGGAGAAGCTCACCGTTTTGCTGCAAATACAAAGTTGAATACTGAATCTTCGCGTAGTCATGCTATTTTGATGGTAAATGTTCTTCTGAAAATTTGAAGAAACATTGGTTATTGGTTGAGAATTTGTAGGCTGATAAAGTTTGATCATTAACAATTATGTCTACTGCTACAGGTACATGTGAAGAGGCATGTAAAAGGAAAAGAATCAACTCTTTCAAATGAAAATGGTAACTCCCACATGGTAAAAAATCTAAAGGCTCCTATTGTTCGGAAGGGGAAGCTAGTTGTGGTGGATCTTGCTGGTTCAGAGCGCATAGACAAGTCAGGTGCATGCAGATAACCAATGAATATTACAACTGTAGTCTTGCATGATAAAAATTATTACTAATTAATCCCTTTCTTGTTGACTGGTATTTTATTCACACGAACAACTTGCAGGTAAATGTAGTAGATGCTTTTAGCTCGTTTATGGTTGTAAAGCCAACTAAGTTGCGTCTTTTATTTGTTGTCAGGGTTAATGCTTACGAGACATTTTAGCTGAACTAATAAGAAGTAAAAAGTAAATAGAGCAGTCAGTCGTGGGATAACCGAGAAAGTAACAAATGATTGCTTAGATGCAATTAACTTCGATAATAAGAAGGATATTTAAATAGAATGCGAGACTTAACTTATAAAGGGATTACATGCTCATCTGGGCGGTTTACCTGTGGATTTGTAATGCATTTGGTGACGTTTTTGTTACATTTTAGGAAGGTTTGGAATGAAGTCGTTTGATATTAAATCATGGCTCTGAGACTAGAGCACAACTTGAATGAGTTTCATGTACCTTCAGTTTTTCCTATGAGGTAGTAAATTTATTCGTCGACAACATTTTACAGGAAGTGAAGGACATACATTAGAGGAAGCAAAGTCCATCAATCTCTCTTTAAGTGCATTAGGGAAGTGCATTAATGCGTTGGCAGAAAACAGTGCACATGTCCCAGTGCGAGATTCAAAGCTTACGAGGTTACTTCGGGACTCATTTGGAGGTAAGAAGTAAATGAATTTGATCATTTTCTTTTCCTTTGTGGTCAGTTATATTCAATCATTCTAGATGGGGTTTTCCTTTAATGAGTAGTTAGTATTTCCTTTTTTATTGTGGTATTGACAGGCACGGCAAGAACTTCACTAGTTATTACAATTGGTCCATCCCCGCGCCACCGAGGAGAGACATCTAGTACTATTATGTTTGGACAACGGGTGTGTTTCAAATTCGTTTCCCTTTTCTTTTATTTGTGTATAAATTCTGTGATAGGCTAGTTAGTATAGTCTTCACTGTTGGTTTTTTGACATATTCTTAATAACATAAAGCCGTTGTTGAATAGTTATTTTTTTTTTTAGCTTTGTTATGTGCTTGATCATGAACCACGATCACGTGAGACTTCATTTATATTTTTAGCATACGTAACACGAATGGTTCATCATTTGATCCCTTCCTTCAATTCTGAAGAAGAATACTAAATTTGTTTCTTTTTTCCCTCCATTTTTAGGCTATGAAGGTGGAAAATATGTTGAAACTAAAGGAGGAATTTGATTATAAAAGTTTATCAAGAAGGTTAGATATACAACTAGACAAACTTATTGCGGAACATGAAAGGCAGCAGAAAGCATTCAAGGACGAAATTGAAAGGATAACTGTGGAGGCACAAAATCAGATATCTGAGGTCGAAAGGAATTATGCTGATTCATTGGAGGTAAATATTTGTATAAAATATTATGCACAATGCCAGAACATATCTCTGGCGTGTGTGTTTTGCTTTCTCAGTGTGTACATTTGTATGTCAGAGAGGGCCCTTAAGGGGGGGCATAAATCAGCCTATTACTGCACATGCTTATACGGTTTTGAGAAGCATGCATTATTGATTTGAGCAATTTTCTATAGCAAATTTGTATCAATGGAATTTCATTTAATTACATTTCCAAAGCAAGAAGGGAAACTCATCCATATTGCCTGTTAGTGCACGTACCACGTCAACTTATTTTGTTTAGTGCTTATAGTTGGTTGTTAATTGGAATGCATATTTTCATTTTTGTAGAAAGAAAGGTTGAAATATCAGAAAGATTATATGGAATCGATAAAGAAGCTTGAAGAGCAATTGATGATGAATCAACGAAATTGTGGCGGTGAAAAAATCACGAATGGACCAAAAGACGATGGTGCTAATGTAACATCTAACAAAGAGGTAGTATATTCCTTAAAAAAAAAAAGAAAAAGAAAAAAAAGAGGTTGTATCAAACTACATATCTTTTGAAATAGTATGCTTCTACTGTAGACAAAAATATGCTCTACTTGTGGTGGTGCTTTTTTTTCCCCCCTCCCAATTCTACATATCAGTTCCTTGGTTGTCTAATCATATAATATATTCCTTTTTTTTTTCTGTGTGATTCATCATAAACTTGTTTATCTGTCCGGATGTTTAAGGATGCAGTTGCTGGCTATATTGGCCGTTAAAATATGGTAACAAGAACAAACATTCAAACCATTCAACGTAATCAATGACATATTATGGACGAAATTATTTTTGTTATTATTATTATTTTTTTGTCATTTGATCATCTAGACAATTAACATTAATTCGACAAAAACTATGAATTGTGTGCTTACTGTTAGATCTTGATACGTGACTTTAAACAGTCTGAACCATTTATAGCACAAAATGAGACAAACAAAAAAAACTATAGGAACAAAAGCGGTAATAAAAGCCTATAAGAGGAAATAGATGTGAGCCTAAATTCACTCCAAAATTTCAATGTTCAATGATATCTTAAAACATAAGCAAAATTTGCTGTTGCAGAATTTGTCGGCAATTGAGGAGGTTGTTGAGCTTAAAAAACTGCTTCAGAAAGAAACTCATCTGAGGAAGGCTGCTGAAGAGGAAGTCAGTAATCTCAAAAATCAGCTTTCTCAATGGAAAAGGTCAGAGGTATGTTTTATTCTCTCTACTTGACTCCTTATATTTTCATTTTACCTTATTATTCTTGTCCCAATCTCATAGTTTGCTATTCAGTTCATGTTACATAGAATTTTGTTTTCGGTATGTGCTAGACAGCGGGGAATGCTGAAATCTTGAAGCTCCGCACAATGCTGGAAGATGAGACCCATCAGAAAGAGAAACTAGAAGGAGAAATAGCAGTACTACAAAGTCAGTTGATGCAAATAAGTTTTGAAGCTGATGAGGTAAGTTTATATCTAACATTTGTGGAGTTATGGGTCAATGAACATCTTAATTCGAGTATCGGAATAATAGAATTTCTGTAATAAGCAACATGTCCATGTGTGCATAGTATCTAAAGTGCGGATTGTAACTAGAATGCATTTTTGTAGACGAGAAAACGACTTGATCTGAATGAGCCTGGGAGAATTCTTGGTGGTATAGATTCTCTTATGGATCAAGTGAGGCATCCACAGCTTAAAGATTCAGGAAACGAAGAGAAGGCCTCAATAGCCAAACTCTTTGAGCAAGGTTCTAGCTTGCTCTTTTCTGATGGTTAATGTTTTATTTTGATGCTGATAATTTAAATTGCTTATATCTACTTCCTTTTCATAAATAATAAAAATGCAACATAATACAGTGGGATTGCAAAAGATCTTATCTTTGCTAGAAGCAGAAGATGCTGATGTGCGAATTCACGCTGTTAAAGTTGTAGCAAATCTTGCAGCTGAAGGTGAATTAACTTCCATACATTGTACCTTATTTCTATGCAACTTTTCGTTTTCAACACAAGTTTGTGTTTAATTACTAGTTGCTTGTCCCATCCTCATGCTATTCATTCGTGGTACTATACTTGTTGCTTGTGCTGGTTGGTGATTTTGTTCGGATGCGGAGAGCAAAGGGTAGTAGCTTTGAATTTGTTTCTACTTCAAATACCTTCTGTTGGAATATGCGGTGCCCCTTAAGATACCATATTGTAGGATCAAGATCTACTTATACCAGAAATCTTAGTTTCGCTTTTTGCTGAACAAAACTTTACTGTACTTGATGCTTTGAACAATTATCACTTCATGGACAAGTACTTGCAATGCTTTAAGGTCAATCAGAGCAAATTAGAAATTATATTAGGCTTGCTTCTTATGTGCAGAGTCAAACCAAGAGAAGATTGTACAAGCTGGAGGTCTAACATCCTTGCTGATGCTGCTTAAAAGCTCCGAGGAAGAAACCATACATAGAGTTGCTGCTGGTGCAATTGCAAATCTTGCAATGAACGGTAAAAGGTTTTGCATCTGCTATGGATGGTTTGTGGAATATGTACTATAAGCTTGGTTGAGAAATGGGGACTAGTTTCATCTCTGATTTTCTCCTATAAAATTTCTTATCAGAAAGCAACCAGGAGCTTATAATGGCTCAGGGAGGAATTAGTTTACTGTCAATGACAGCAGCCAATGCTGAAGATCCACAAACCCTTCGGATGGTTGCTGGAGCGATTGCTAACCTTTGCGGCAATGGTAAACTATTGACAATTTCAACGATTTTTTTTACATCCACGCCTTACCATTTCATGATTCACGTGTAGTTCACGTATTTAAGTTCAAGGATCTGTTAGTTTTACATAATGGTTAAGAATCTTTAGTAATAGAGCAGCTTATGGCGATGACTCAAATTTGTAGTTTTCTTTATCATTAAGTTACATAAGAAAAGAAGGGGCACTTATTTGGAGAATCGGATCCTTTTAACTCGTTAAAGCTGATTAGTTCTTAAAGAGGGGGGAAATAAAGGTGTAGTTGTATCCCGACTTTTTTATACCAACTCAATTTGCTGGTGAGTTGTCATTTTTGTTAATAGACCCATTTTCTATTAAAATAATAATAATAATAATAATAAAATAAAAAACATTTTTCCTCTAAATACAGACTTGGTATACCTACCAACAAAAAGATGACAAGTCATATGCCACGTCAGTTAATATTATAAGGTGGGACCCTAGCATTATCCTTTTTTAAATTGAAAAAGAATGATTAGAAAGGATTACCAATTGGGAATTAGTTAAAGGTAGCAAAACATTCTGTCGTCAGTACTCACTAACAAAGACAAGATTGCATGTTTCAGATAAATTACAGACAAAGCTACGGGGTGAAGGGGGGATAAAGGCGTTGCTAGGAATGGTCAGAAGTGGACATCCTGATGTTCTTGCTCAAGTTGCTCGTGGAATAGCAAACTTTGCGAAATGCGAATCTAGAGCATCCACACAAGGTAAAGGGCTATAGTATAGTAGATGAAGAAGGTGACGTTGATATAACATATAAAGATCCTACAGACTGAGTTGAACTTTTTTCCTGACGGATTCAGGGACGAAGCCCAGAAGGTCTCTTTTGATCGAGGACGGTGCACTTCCTTGGATTGTACAGAATGCCAACAATGATGCCTCGGCCATCAGACGCCACATTGAGCTTGCTCTCTGCCACTTAGCACAACATGGTAACTTAAGTACTTTTGCTCTCTTTTTTCACCTTAATTAGCCATTTACCATAGAACACAACCTAAAACTTCCCGAGTTACTTTACCTTCACAGAAGCCAACGCAAGAGAAATGATCACTGGAGGCGCACTATGGGAATTGGTTCGTATCTCACGAGACTGTTCACGCGAAGACATCCGAAATCTTGCGCAAAAAATGCTGACTTCAAGCCCTACTTTCCTTGCTGAACTGAGGCGGCTACGGATAGACTATTGACTAGTTTGTGGTATGCATGTTTGTGATTTTTGGCTAACTGAAGGTTGTATGGGGGGATGTAATTTTGTTGAAGAATTTGGTTTCTAGTCAAACAAAGAACGCTTCCACGTCCAACATCGCCCAGCTTTGTTCCTGCCGAGGTCATCAGCTGGTCCATTTTGGTTTATAGTAGTCATATAATAATATGTAGTTTGATTATTACATCTAAATTTGTTGATTATATTATGTCTTCTTGTCTCTCATTTATGTTTTTATCTTGGTGTGACCCTGCAGTGTTAGCTTCTCACGATCAGTTTGTATATTTATTGTATAGTAATAAATTGGAAAAGCAGGAAAATGAGAGAACCAATTTTTTTGTATCTCTTACAGACTCTTTTTTTTTTTTTTTTTTTTTTTTTTTTTCAATCCCCCCAAGAATATTTTGGTTTTTTTTTTTTTTTTTTTAATGGTCTGTTTTGATCCTTCGATTTTGTATATATACGCTATCACAGAAGTTAAAGCATATATTATTAAGGAAGCATCTTTAGTTATAATTAGAAAATGCTTAGTTATGAAAGTTTCTATGTACGGGTTGAATATAAAAATGTTTCAGTAGCTTCTTTATTTAACGCAAGTACAAATATCCACGTCGTGTTTGTCTTAGATATGTTTAAATAAAGCCTTTGACTGTGTAATAATTATTAGAGAAAAACGGGAATATTATGGCCAAGTATTCATCAATAGCCCTTCAATAATATAGTACAAGACTAATCATTTCATAGTACCCACAAGTTGCCACCGAAATCATAATAGCAAAATAATGAAAAATAATAATAGCACTATCTAACAAATAATGGAACAAAGTAGTAATAATTCATTTTGCATGATTAAAAGAGTTTGGTTTTCAAGAATGAAATTCCTAAATTTAATAGTGAAGTTGACCAACCAAAAAGGGGTAAGAAGAAATTCAAAGACTTAATAGATATAAAGCAAAAGAAGAACGTAGGAAAGAATCCAAGAATGGATAAGTTTGTAATGTACTACATTATACAAAGGCTTGGAAAAAAGCAACCAATGCAATGGGTATAAGTGGGAGTTCCATGATATCCCATATAGTACAGCTGCCCAATCCCTTGATTCTCTGAACCCAAGAGACAGAGAGAGAGAGAGAGAGAGAGAGAGAGAGAGAGAGAGAGAGAGGAGAGAGAGAGAGAGAGAGAGAGAGGCTTTTTGAAGGGTCGAAGGCACATTGTGTCTTGTGGGCTTTTAATGGAAGTGTTGTTGTTGTTTGATGTTTTGCCTCGTAAAGGAGCTTCTTCAGAGCAGTGCACGTGTATACCAGTACCCAAATATTTTCATGTCTCCGGAATATCCTCACAATATTATGCAAATTTTCAGATCAAAATCTCTCTCTCTCTCTCTCTCTCTCTCACTCTCTCTCTCTCTCTCTCTCTCACACACAGAGCAGAAAAGAGATAGAAACTTGTGGAAAACTCTCAGCCCATACCTCTTTGCTTATAAGAAAGTTAAAGCTACTTAAACAAGTGTGAAATTACTTGTGCCGAAAGCTTATAATAATTAGTCCAATATAAATACTACTACTTTTTTTTCCTACATTAATTTGAACGTAATAATGTATATAGGCTTCCATTGACACCAACAATTATACTGAATGTATAAAATTAAGTGTAATTAGACTATATATATATATATATGGTAAACACATTGGAAGTTTCAGTTATAAGTGATGTTGGTTTCAATATAAGTCTTTATGGGATAAAGTATATATACATTAAGCAAGAGAGAAAACTATTGCATGTGAAATTGGTCCAACCCCGTTTAAGAATGGAAAATGTACATAAATGTGAATGATGAACTATGTACTCTTATTGATTCCATGGACAATATTATTTTACCAAGGAACTACTAATCAAGAAACTAAACCAGCGTGAAATATGAATGAAATTGTTTTTTTATAATATGTTTGAATATATATATATATATATTTATATATATAGCGCTCATTTCTTAGGAAACAATAATACTAGAAACTAGAAAGCTGGATAATTATTGTATGTAACACAAATTAACTTGGGCAAACAATGGAGTGCATGGTAAATAACTCTCTCACTCCACCTCATCTTCTTAGGTCTTCAATTTCTAATTTTTATGCATAAACCAAACAAATTATATAGAGCATATGAAATAATTTGCATGGAATTGATCATAATCTAACTCATCATCATGAATTCATCATGAAATAATATACAAAGTCCTTCAAATCAACATGTGAAAACTAACCACCGCTCTAACCCATCATCAAAACGCAAAAACCGAAACCGAAAAAAGAAGAAGAGGAAGAAGAAGAAAATATAAATGTCAAGAAAAGAAAAAAAAAGAAAAAAAAAAGATAAACCTGATCATCATAATCATCAAAGCTAATTTGCTCAACAAACCACAAATCCTCTTTCCTTCCTTCCTAGCCATATATATAAATAAGTACATACATATATTATATATATAGCATAGCATGAGAACTACTTCTCCATCACGAACTGATCATCATCATCAACATCATCATCATGAACTAACCTCTTAACCGAAATAACTGTCGTTAGTACGGAGGCCGACCAGACGCCCAATAAGCCTCCGCCGGCATTTGGATTGAATTCAATAGATTCGGCGGCAGCCCGTGAAATAGCGTAGGTGCCCCACCCGAATTAGCCGCCTCCGCTGCTGCCGCCGCCGCCATTATCTGCTGCTGCTGCTGAGTCGAAAAGA